GAATAGCTGAAAGTTGGAACTGTAAACTTTCAGGTATTTGCCAAAGTCTTTCACGAGAGGCTTCTGCAGGATCATCTTCCCGAATAGTTCTACTTTCTATTGAGGTTGGCTTGATCAATTGAGATACTGTTTCCTTCAGACTTCCCCTTCGCTCGATCTTTTTCGAAGCAACTTTCTTTTCGGCTCCCGAGGTAGCACTATTAGAAGAACCTGATCTTTCAGAAGTTGGTGATAAACTGTGCCCAGTCATAATCTCACAATCTCGACGTAAAACGTGTGCGCCATCCATAATGTCTATGTTTTCAACGAAATAGATTCGATAATCATTGTCTGCCCTCATTCGAACCAACAATTGTAACAATGTTAAGCGACAATCTACGGGAGCCGAAAAATCACCAAGAATCTTTATTATTTCCGAATAGACTTCCATGCTCTGTTCCGGAAAGTCAGCTTTGTATAAATAGCACTGAAATATATCTATGAGGCTATGGGTGGAAGTAACACACTTGCATGCTGACGAATGGAAATACTGAGTTTTTGCACGCGGCTGATTCGAGAAACAAAAGCACTTACAACATTGCATTAGGATCTTGAGTAAAGTCGAAAACCAACGTACTGGCGCATCCTTGAGTACAGTAACCAAGAAATCCATTGAAACTGCCGATATATCTATTTCAGTTTCTCCTGGTAGCCCTGTGAGCATGGGCAGGATGACTGCCTCCACAAGTTGTTCCTGATAGACATCCTTGGTAACTTCATAAACGTCTATTGTCATTGTCAAAACTTTCAAGCGAATATCAGGCGTTTTTTTTGCGATAAAGAAGGTGTTTACTACGTCGACCAACATTACGAGCCAATCCGGTGATGAAGGATATAGTGCATGCTCAGAGTCATAATAATCGAGAAGCATGATAATGGTAGTTTCAGACGCGAGATCTCTTAGCTTTTGAATGAGACTAATGAAACGTGAGGTCGATCCCTCGAACGAGGAAGACATGTATAACAACTGAATCTGTAATATCAATTTACTATAGGCACCGACAAATCCCGGAATACCGGTTAGGTCAGATGGTTCCTTTATTGAAGTGTCCAATATTTTCACATTCGAACCCGAACCATCATTGTCCAATAAGTGATAACATGTATTGTCCAAGATGTTCAATATTATTTCCCATTCTAATGAAGCGATATTCTTACATTTTGCGACGAGATCATTGATCTGCATTAAAATTTCCAGATGAACCGTAACATCCGGATATATTTTTGCCGACTTGTTCATTGCTGAGAGAACAGTGAAATGATAGGTATGCAATAAGGAATCAACTTCTTCGGACCCCCATGTCGCCCACCCCAGAAATGAAACAGATCCTCTTAATATGTTTGTTGTCTCGGGAGTTACAACTTCCGAACTCTCCAAATTACTACATAATATCTTTATGGCACCGTACGCACAATGACTTCTTAGGAGATTGCGCATGATGTGCCAACTTTTTTGTGAAATCACGTCCTTTTGATTAACCTTGTCACAGAGAACCTGTACATATGATTCTAAGGAGTTTGCGGGCACGTACCCATAACGTACAATGATATCCCAAAAATCAAGACAGCAAGCTATGTCGGAAACATCGGTTGATTTCTTACAGGCAATTGCGATATCTTCAACAAGACGAGTAATGTCGTGTTCTTCGAACTGTGCAAAATTAAATTTCACCACATGATTTAAAAGACTAATCACTGATTGTAACCTTGTCGGATTGTCCAAATGGGATATTGGATCTAGTTCCGTTGTTTCCGTTATGGTCTCAACAGCTGAAACTATGGCTGAGGTTGTTGAGTTGGAGTTCGTCTCCTGCGAAACATTCGACAAAGCTTCTTTAGTAATGTTTCGATCATCTAATTGTTGCACCGTTTCATTGACCCATTCGGAGAGCAATTTCACCAGATTCTTTTCAAACGAAGAAATGTTTCTGCCGTCATTACAAAGCTCTCTCAACGCTAACAACCTGAGTTCAAAATCCTCAGACATATTATGAGATTTTATACAGTCGTAAAATATCACTCTCAGGAAACCCAAATTTTCTGCAGGTTGACCTCTAATGCAAGAAATCATAAATTGAAATGCGATAGTTCTTGCTTCAATAGGTTTTTCGGGCGAGAGTAATTCACCGACATAAGTCCACACTTCAGTCAAATCGGTGAACGTATATTTCGTCACGATATCGCATAATTCTCTAATTAATTTGATGAGCGTGTCCAAAGGACAAGGTTTTTGTAATTCTTGTACGAGTAGTTTTATGTCAGTTGGTGGTCGATGCTCGCCATCATTATGATCAAGAACCTCCGGTAAAATTGTTGATCCTAAATTATCATCTAGTGTAGAGGATAATTCGGTACGTTTAAAAAGTACTCTACGGAAGAAAGGATCTTTTTTGGTTTGCTTTGCATCTTGTGCCATTATCTTGAAATATTTAGGCGAGAGTTCTAACCGTTTATTTATCGACAATCATTTCACCGCAATATTACCGATGATTATATAATGAATTATGACGTATTGTTTATTTTTCCGATATAAAAACGGTCATAATTATGAACCTTTGTTGTACAAAAATTTGCTTTAAGTACAGTATTTAATAAAAAATCAAAATAACTCTACATTTCTAATAAAAATTCTTTATTACGCATAAAATTAGTAAATACAAAAAAAACAAACAACATTAAATAATTTTTTTTTTAATTATTTGTAGTCAGACTAGATAGAAGTTTATTAATCTCTAAAAAAACAAAGTATATATTTATCAGAGCAGGATAAAAAATACTATAGCTAAATATTTATATCTTATCTAACAAACCCATCTTAAGCATAATAGTCTCTAAGTTTGATCTTGGAAACAATATTTTGCTCCGATAATAATTTTGGATAAACACTTTCCTAATTTTACTATTTTTTATTTAAACCTCTGTCAGGCTAGTTATGTGTACTTTATTAAACAATTGTAAGCTATATATTATATATATATCACTAAAGCTAAATCTTTAACTAACTCACTCATCAAAGTCTTATATTTATCTAGGACTCTAACCCTTCTAACTTTTAACATCATTGTCCATAGGTCACTGCTATAGATTTTTCTAATTTTTATTATCATTATCAATAATTTATTATTAATATATATTTTATTAAATCACTAATTAACAAAAAATTATATAAGGAAAAATGAATATAAAAGAGAAATGAGTATATATAAAAATATACAAATGTATTATAAGAAAATGAAGAGAGAAAGAAAAAAAGAGAATAAAATTCAATTTCTTCAAAAGATTCAACTTTTTGAATTTTTTTTTCAATAAGATAAATCTTTTTGAGTTATTTTTTCTTTTCTAGAATACAGTATATAGAAAACTTATATTTTGATAGTTTCTTCTTTACTAGCTTTCAAATTATACTTTTTCAATTTACATCTTTAGGTTTTATATTAATCACTTAGGGTTTTTTCCTTTGTTCTGCTTGAGAACTTATTGTCTTGATCATTATTCGACTAGAAAAAAGTTAACCTTAAAAGCTTTACCAGTTTAAATAATAAAAATAGAAAAATTTTATTTAAAAAAATAATAGTCTAATAATATGTTATTTAGATCTTATTGACTTCATAATTGAAAAAAAGAAA